AGGGAGGGGAGATGACGACTCCTTTTTCATCACCTTTTTTTAAGAACTGAGTACCCTATGCCACGATTGACAGTGAAAGCTACTTGTTCTGCTGGGCACTGTTCAGGGAGGATGCAAAGGAAGTACTTACTCTAAAGATGTAGGTTGCTCCTCCTCCACCGCCACCTCCTCCAGCCCAGTCCTTAAGGTCCTTTTTTTTTTTGTAACCTTCTTCAATGAGAGATGACTCCCCTAAGCAGATCTTCTGGGTTTCAGGATTGCCCTGAAAGGAGACAAGAGATGCACTCAGATATAAGCAAAGTCCAACTCTTGAGAGCTGTCTGTATATATCAGTATAACAGTACTGTATTGTGATGTATGAGCCATATATATGTCAGTATAACAATACTGTATTGTTTGTGATGTATATGAGGCATATATAAATCAGTATTATCTTTGTGGAAAGTGAACTCTTCTACAAGGACCAACAGCTGAGGTGTCACCTCCGATTTGCAAACTCACATTACACATACAAGTGAACACACAAATGTTCACAGAAAAAAACAAAGCAAAACAGCAATAACTCATTATTGACATCACATAATTCATATTTAGTATATTTAGAACTTCTTATACCCAAGAACATTAAAATGTGTTGAATTATCGATTAATTCTCAGAACTTCCTTCCTGCTGGATTTATTAGGTATTTCTCAAGGACATAAACACATAAAGCAGACAGAGGCGACCTGCACATAGTCAAGCAACCTACTAACACATCTTGGAAGAGAAATCTGGAGTCTCAGCTTCCTATTCCTTCTAAACACTAGAGAACACTGAAAAAGCTATTAAAAAAAAAAAAAAGATTGTTTGGCCATCTCTAGATTATTTTTATTTTTTTTTTCAACACTGAGTTCCACAAATTTCAATAACTTTGTAAATCTGCCCATCTTCACTCAGATGATGAAATCTGAATGATTTCAGAAACTGCTATGTTGTCTCAATGCAGGTGAAATCCCTACTTGTGAGGGTCATGTCACATATCTAAGCCAAAAAAGTGGCACCAAAAAAGTGTCCTCTCATTCAAGGAAGAGGACAAAAGATGACAATGTAGATGAGGACCAGGGAAAAGCAAGAGAAGTAAATCTAAGGAGAGAGAACAAAGGTTTGGAGCTGCAGAACTTCTTCAGAGAAAGAAAAACAAACATTAGTTACTCAACGTATAAATTAATCAGGATTTCCAAAGCCTTTCCAAATAAAGTTGGGCTTGGGAAGTGGGAAAAATGAATGGAAACTTTTTCCAACAGCATCTGCCAAAGGGAGACAGTTAGTGGTGCGTTATACCTTGCAATTTGGAGAACAAGCCATGAAATGCAATGGAGTAATGAACAACTTTGCAGATTATGAGCTAAGCCTAGACTTCACTGGAGAGGGAACTGCAGGTATACAAGTGTATGTTTTATTTAGATAGATACAATCCTTGTACTATCTAAAGTGAAAAAAAGGCTGGGTTTTGTATCTGCTGCAGTATTTGCATAAGGCATCATATGCTCTGGGCAAGCTAAATGGTAACTTTGGATGCCTACAAGAATAGTGTATGTATTTCAAAACTCAGCAGTCTATCTGTGGGGAAAAGAGAAAACAGCTTTGTTCCAGGGCAGGGGTTGACAGATCACATTTCTCAAAAGAGACAATACCAAAGAATTCATGTTGAAAAGAGGCAACTTTTTCAGCCTAAGTGATAAAAGGACTTTCAAATCTTTGGGTCTAGCATTAGAGGACACATATATAAGCATTCACATCATCAATTTCTATTTTTCATGAGTGTTTTTTGTCATTACAAATGCCTAATCCAGGGGCCACTGTAGTTAGTGGGAAGATTCCCACTGGCTTTGATAGACTTTGGATTCAGACCTTAGTCTCTAAGCTTAGAAAATGTCTAACAGAGAGCAGCCACAACACTGCTGGATGCTTCCATAAATAATAGTAAATTATCTGAAATGCTGGCAGACAGAAAGAAACCCAGGCTGTGGAAAAATAAGAGAAGGAGCACACAGCTCTTCAGCTACTAGCTCCCTGCTTAAAATAAGCAGAAGAAATCTGATGAAGAACTTATTTCAAACACCAGGAGCTTAAAGCAAAGTTCCTGTGGGCTTCATATTTGTTTGTGCATTTTGGGATTGTTTTTCTTTTCAGAGTTCTTTATATTTGTTTTGAGATTCTTTCTAACTTGGTTTATTGGTTCTTCTCAGTCTCCTGACTGGATTTCATTGCTATATTCTGAGATTTCTATCTTTCATCAGCAAACCCCAAGCCACCCACTTAATCTCACTGAATCGTATCTGCAAAGCCTCTGCCCACATGTGCTTGTGCAGCCCTCACCCCAGGGCAGGCATCCTCCCCCTGCTGCCCCACTAAGATGTACAGCAGCTCATCTTTCTCCAGCTGGAAGGTGGCTGAGATGAAGACCCCGTGGGACCTCTTATTGTGGTTTTTGGCTCCCTTCCCTCCGGCTGCTCCATAGGCAGAAATCCTGGAAGAAAAAGTAAGTAGTTAGAGAGACAAATCTCATACTTCTCATCCCCAAAGCAACTCCATCTGCAAGCTCTCCCCAGCCTGCACTTCCAAACAGGCATTGCTTTCAGAGCAGGCTCCCCTGCTGCAGCATCTCATGGCTATTCTTTGTCTGAGACCCATGCAGATAGGCTGCTCAAGAGGACAGACCCACTCTACACCAGAACACTTGAGACAGAGTCTTCAGGAGCAAACAGCATGAGCTGATATAAACAAATCTAAAAGACCGAGGCTTTGGGACTGAAATAATGGCAGCAATTCCACTTGACCGGATGCCCACGCTCACTCCTGATTTAGGTCACCACTCCACCATTCCATGCTTCGCAGCAGCTCAGACACAGATCCTTACCGTTGGTGCTCCTGTTTCTCTCTCACTTCACTGCTCACTCCACTCACTCATTACAGATGGTCCCACACTTATGCTTGCTGAAACTCCACAAACAAAAAGTAGTTAAATGTGGCTGCCTCTCCAGCACATGCTGATAGTCACCTGTATCGGTTTGTGGCTGGCACTCTCCAGACTTGCACTCCCCGGAGCCTGCCCTCTTTCTCCACAGTCACCGACACGTTGCTGTCCTTATAGGCACTGTCACACTGAGCTTGAGTCGGTCCATGTGGACCACTGGCACCACATGTTGTGAACCACCAGAGAACAACAGATGTGTCCCCTGTGACCAAAATAGCAAGAGTTGGGGCAGATGTGAGCTTCCCTTTGTTTCTCAGACATGTGCACCAACTCACAGAACTATATAACCAAAGGGCGTCACTGAAACAAACAACTCTTCCTGTTGATATCTTTCCTTAATCCTTTGATAACAAAATTCATATTATTATTATTATTATTATTCACAAAGAACATTAATGACTTTTATATATAAAAAAAAACCCCAGATGATCAAGAGGAAGACCACTTTGCAGCAGCATATGCTGTCTACAGGACTTTAAAACTCAACATGTCTCTTTGATCACATGCTTATTATTATAATCATACTAAAAAATGCTTAAACTTGCATTTATACTGTCGAGGACTTGAAAGCCAGTACATGCTAAAGTTACATTTCTCTGTTCAACTTTAAAGCAGCTCCCTCATAATACAATCCACTAAGATACCACCCTTAATTATATGATCACAGAGTACTTACATTATCCCAACTTTATTCTAGTCATAGCACTCTGTATGTAGTCATTATTTGCCTTTTTTTCCCCTCTCACCTTATTTCCTGCACACTATTTAATAAATCATGAACTGCAGATAAACCCCATCAATTGGGGTGTCCTGAGGGATGGGACTTCTAGGAAGGGGTTTATCCAAGTGTCTCACAGACATTATCAAATTTCTCTTCTCAGTGCCAGTATGAAGCAAGGAGATATTATTCAACTTTCTAGACGAGAACTGAAGCATATACACAGAAATAAGGGTGGAAAACATCTGCCATTACAACTAGCGACCATCTACGACACATGGTGAATGTTTTAAGTGATTTGTCTCAGGCTTGCACAAGAACCCTGTGGCAGCAGCAACAGTCGGGAGGACAATCTCTTGCTACTTTCAGTAGGGGCTCTTTCTTCCAAGCTTTTTTTTCCTGGCTCTCATTAAGCATTATTCTTTCATTTCTACAACAGTGCAGCATATAACCATCTTCCATTTCACAACCCTTCTCCAAGGCCCAGACATATCCATCTTTTCCAGTGAATTAGATGGGTCCTAAGAATAAAACTATTTAATAATGCATTTTAAAATTGTAGGATGCAGTGCATGCACAAGGGCCAGAGTCAGAAGTAGAACTGTTTAAGAGCTGAATTATTATTAGTAGTAAAAATTATAAAACCTTGAAAAGAAAAACTCTAATATTTTTTTAAAGGAAAAGCCAAGCACAACTATCCCCAACAGACGTCATCCTGTGAACATGCAGATGGATCAGAGTGTTAGGTACATTAGAGAAATGTCTGCCCCCTGAGCTAACAGGAACTGACAGCAGTACAGATTGTCACATTTCAGGTGGACACAGACTTCAGGAGGTGGTGCAGTCTCACACAGGTATTTGTTGGCAGCAAAGCAGCCTCAAGCACAACCTTCCACCCTCAGGCTCTCCTTTAGACAGATCTCATGCACACAGATGTTGTTTATCCTCCAGAGTGACAGTCTCTACTGCTATCAGTAAACTGGTCCGCTATTCTCCTAGTTTTTCATCCAGTTTTTCTCCTCAATGGATTTCTAGATCCTCACTTACTTCCCCTCCCTGAATCTTCATCCTTACATCCCCTTACACCCCTATTCTCCATTCATTATGTTCACCTTCACTGCTCACTAAGTCTCAGTAAGTCTCTTGCTATCCCCAGATTTCTGTACTGGTCTACACCTTTCATTCCTGAGCTGGCTTTTGTGTGTACTCCGAATTTGAGTCATGCAGCTTCTGCTTTTACTTAAAGCTTCTTTTCTTTAAAGAGGTCCTGCTGCTTAAGGACTGGGGAGTTGGACTCCAGCAAACTGCTGTCCTATAGCCAGACACTGCCTGATATGGTCTTCACATCTCTGGGATGGATTATATTTAGTTGTCCTGTTGCTATAGGGCAGACAGATTATACAGAGGAGATGGGAAGGGAGCCAGCTTTTATAGCCAAAAGAAAGGTTTTCAGTACCGAATCATGTACCTGGGAGGGAGGGCTCTTCCAGGGGGTTCAGAAGATGCTCATCCAGGATACTAATCTCCTGTGGGTACTGGTGCTTTCCACCAAAATGATTTGGTTGTCTTCCTGCAATAGTTTGTAGAACGGATGAGAAAGATGGGAGAACAGTAGAAGAGAGATGGAAAATTTAAATATCACATGAATGAACCAAGTACAACCATTTGGTTAAAATAAGGGAATAATACCTTGGGTAGAAAAGGTGTTTTAAACAATCTTTTTTTATTATTATTCTTTTGGGCCCGTGCCTTGGGTGAGCTACTTGTATCTGGACTGTAGTCAGTGGGTCTTCACACGAATCCAATCTGTGTTATCCCATGCAAACTCACTTGCAGGATAAGCTCCTTGGCTAGCAAATTGCACTGGCTGTGATTACAAGAGAAGTTAGGAAAAGCATAGTCTGGGAGAACAGATACCAGGTATTGATGCTCTGCCGCTCAAAGGGGCGGGTAGGTGACAATTCTGGACAGAGGAATGAGTGGAGGTGTAAAGGAGAGTGATAGCAAACGTTGTTATCTTTGGTTCTGAATGGCGTCATTGTAAGTAAACCAGCCTAACAGATCTCTCCCGTTTCAACAACCAACTTTCAGCAGCTCAGACCTTGCTTAGAGAATAAAGTAATAAATAAAATTACATGTCTCACTAACAAACACAGTTAAGAAACAGCAGCATACCCTTGACACAAGCTGTAAATCTTTGGGCAAACCTTTTTTAAAAAACACTAAGTAAAATGCTACACTTCTGACCAGTGAAACAGACCTTTAAAAATCAGCCCTTTCTCAGAGAGGAGGGACTTCAAAGCAATCACTGATCCAAAGCATCTGAATGCATTGAGAACACCACACAACCAAAGCTGCCTTACAACAGGACAAAGTAATAACTGAACCCTTGCCTTGCAAACATCCTGTTTCAATAGTAAAATTGCCCATTTTTATGCAGATCTTTGATTGGAAAACCTCTATGAGAAAAAGAAGAGACTTCCTTCCATTTTATGAGCCCTCAGTTAATTTAATACTGAACATTTTTCATCAGTTGAAAAACATTACAAATATTTCAATTTGTTCCAGTTGTGAGAATCTAACAGCTGTTTGATGCTCTATTCAAAAGAGACTCACTCAATTCCAGCTGGACAATTATCTCTGCTGCAAAGCCACTGCTCTAAATAGCGATGATTAACACCCTTGTTAGCTGTGTCAGAAAGGCCAAATAACTAATTGAAGCATGGAGACCTTGCTGAGCTTTTACTCCTGAGAATATTCCCCCCAGGTCTGACTGAAGGCACACTGATGGATGAAGTAAAAGGGAGCTTTGTACTGACACACTCTGTTCGTACTGAGATAGAAAACGTCAATTGATGAAATGGTCAAGCCAGCGAAAAATGAAATTAACCCAAAACAAATGAACTGGATCAAACACAAGAAGGAAAAGCAAATTGGAAAGACAATGCATGGCCAGAAAAGATGCTTGGTCTCCCAAGGCCTGCACCGAATCATGAATCCCAAAGGTCACAACAGTTTCAGATACTTGAAGACATACAAGAAGTCTAGTTATGTTTGCCAGAGCGAAGGAATGTAAATCACTCCCTGAAATAGAGGGTCGGTCTGTGAGTCTGCATGGATTTTTTTTGCAGCATCCCAACTGTGTATCCTAAGGCAATGCCTCATTTCCAAACAAACAATCTTTCCTCCTTCTCCAAACAGTCTCAAACCCTCACGCGCTGGAACAAAGTTTCTGTCTCCTCCGTGCTCAGCAGCAGACAAGTTGCAAGACAGGCTGAGCATCACCGTGTCCACATGAGCTGTTAACTCTTAGAAGGCTGATATTTTATGCACTGTCAGACTTGAATTTATAAAGGTGGCATTTTCTACAAACACGGGATCCAGGGGCTGGTGCTCCAGTCTATTTTATGTTCCACTTCCTCCTCTGACAGACAATATGTTTACTGTAAGTGAACGGAAGGGAACAAGACTTAATTCATATTAAGGTGTGCCTATAGCAGAAAAACAGGAAGAGCACAGGACTTTTCTCAAGGATTTAGCTAACACTGTTGATTTCCACACTGACAATGGACAGAAGGAAGTGTAAAGGAGAAAGACAGGGCATCTCCTGAAGGCAAAGAGCTGAAGTGACTCACTCCCACTTCTCTGTCTCTGAGACTGTAATGAAAAAAAATATACTGGTCCTGTGGCTGGGATTAATCAGAGTAAGGTGCCTCACAGGATCTTCAGAGTGTGCATGGTCTCCTTAGAGACCCCACTTTACTGATGCAGGTTGGACGATTCCTGAAAGCCTCTCCAGATTGTCCTGGAGTGGGATTGAGAATGAGGAAGCTGCACCAGCTTCCCTCTTCCCCATCCCTTTGGCTGATCTAATGGATTTAAGAAGGTGTTGACTAGAAATGCAAGAAATGAGGCCATAATGAAGCCTGAACCACCCCCCACCATTCACCTCAAGCAATGAGACTGGCAGGTCAACAGAACCAGGGTCAGGGACGCCAAAGTCAAGAACTAGATATATGCTATACAAAAGCTCTCTTTGGACTACCTCACCATTTATAAACAAGCTTTCTGGGAAATTGTAAATGATGCACAGAATGAAGTGCAATACCTAGGCCAAGGGAGTAGAGTGTACTTGGGTAGACCACAGACCTGTGATCTTAATTGGAACAATATAATTCTTGGAGCACCGAAAGATAATAGCAAAAGCAACGACTGCATATGTCCTAAGGAGGGCAACAGTCAGCACTCTATTTGCCATGCCAGCCCACATTTTCATGTTTAGACACTCAAAATTCAGATCTCTTTCTACAAAAGCACCAGTTAATTAAAACAATAAAATACCTTTATGCCTGTCCCCTAGAAGTTTTCACAATGAACCAGACTCATGTCATCTGGTCTGTGACACCGTCATACACAAGGTGACTATATGAACCAGAAGGTGGTTTCATCTCACCTATTTCACAAGGAACACATCTGTCACTGCCCAGGAGGTGCCATCCAAAGAATGGTCTGTTTCTTTTTGTCCTTATTGTTGTTCCTTGAGCTGCCCTCGCTATCCACTTGTTTTCCTCCTAAATCTTACTGAATCTTCTCCCTCGATTTTGAGGTATATGGAAAACCTCACCTTCTTTCCCAGTTTGCATACAGATGAGCAGTGCTTGCAGAGTCTGCACTGGGTTTTGTAGAGCTTGAACTACAGGATTGAAATAGATGGAGAAAATAATATTTACGTCCTAGCAAGCAGCAAATTCTTCCTTCCTGCCATACGTCCTTCCTGCTGCCCTCATGCAAAGAATTCACTGCTTGGATCTTAATTGGCTCCATCACTGACATCTGAAACCTGTCCTTGCAAGGGAGAAATAATTTCATTACTGAAAACACAGCAGAGCTGCTGGGCTTCTCTGCAACCTAACTGAATTAAAGTCATGAGAAGACAAATGTAAGAGGGCTGCTTTCAGAGGCGAGAAAATGTCCATTTGCAAAGAGAATTCAAGGAACAGTGGCAAGTGCAAGGTTTCCAAGAAACATGTTTCCTTCACGACGTCTGTCTTCTGCATGAGTCACACATCTCCGGGTCACACCTTCAGAGGGGGTAAGTGCCAGCTGCTCCTGCAATTTATACTAATTGAAAATGAGGAGTAACGTGGGCAGTCTAATGGACAAGCTCTGATAAAATTGCTGCAGTGGCATTTATGCCCCACCTATTTGCCAAAGGAGACATCCCTACGCTAGAGCCAGGAAAATGTCCGCAGGTAAACTGAAGGCTCTCAGGAGGGCAATAAACTCCAGCAGTTGGGTGCACATCAGCCGGCAGAAGAGAATCTAGCAATACTCCCTTCAGTTTCCTCAAAAGTTTTTAAAGCAAAGTGTTAGCATGGAGGTCCCAAAGTGTTTGGGAGCCAAGGGTGTTAAGGAGCTGGAGTGAACAAGTGACATTACCATCAAGGAACATCTCTTCCTCTTAATTTCAAATAAAAACGTGCATGCTCAGAATTTTACAGAAGGGTAGTTTCAGTGCCCAGAGAAGAAAGGGACAGAGAACAGGAGACTGAATCTGACAAAGGTGGGAGGGAAAAGGGACTTTTGGGGATGAACTTTTAATGCACATCTGTTTTGACATAAGACTTCCCACATGCTATATTAGGTTACAGCTAGCCTCTGCAGGGACACATTATTACCCCAAATACTGACATACTAGGTGTGGTGGCATGTGAGGAGTAGCACAGAACCACTGATGCACATTTTGTCTGCAACAGAAGTCACAATTCAAGCGCTGCATATTCTCCGGTTCCTTTATGACAGAGCATATAGGTCTTTTCTCCAGGGACAAAAAGAAGGAAGTTTCTAGTATTTGCAAGTGGTTCAACTATCTGACCTCTTTCCACTTGTCTGCTAAGAAAATCCAACTCTTGCTAACATGCTTTAGAGGGTAGCACTGGCTCCATTTTTCAGAGGAATACATTGTTGTGAGTCACAGTCACAGTAACAAAGCAAAGGAAAGGACGTCTGTTATATATCTGGCAGTGACAAGCTGATGTACCTCCTTGCAGAGTAAAACAAACTTGTTGCAATAATCTAAACTTTACTGTCAGAGAGTCACTTTATTCCTTCATTTTCTTTCTTCCCTCCACTAAAATATGGTGACTTTCCCCTTTGGTTTCAACAAATTCCCTTCAGCTATCAATTGCCAGGGTGCATAGGTCAGCAGGGACTGCTGAAGAACAGTGTGATGTAATCCTGCCATTTAGGAGCAAGTCTAGTGTTTCTTGCCAAGACACACAGACAGGTCTCAACTGTGTGATACAGGATATCCCAGATTAGAGGAAAGAAAAGCACTAGGAGACTGTGACACACTGTAAAATTGCCTCTACTTGCAATCTTCAGTGGGTCTGAGGTAGAATGGCATTGTGCTGTACAAGCTAACACAAATGATCCATGTGTGCTCTGTAGGGAGAACAGAGCATGTGTGTCCTGGATCCGTGGGATGCTGATTACGCTACCCAGATTCTTTAAGGGATTCTGCAACACTTGTGGCTCACCGTCAATGAAGCAGTCCAGTCCAAATGTAATATTGTCGATTGCAATGTCAGCTTGGGAATTCCAGCCCCAGGTTGCCAGGAGGTGCAGTTGAAACCTTTGCAATAAGACAGAAGTTTTAGAGAAGACAGACAAAGGGTCAGGAGGAAAAAAAACACCAAACAACTAAACCCACAATGTTCCTTTATCATCCAATTATGATCATCACTATTTAGAATGTTTCCTTCAGACAAACCCTGCTGAGCAGCCAAAAGGGCTTGCTAGAAATCTCAACCACGCATCAACAGTTAGTAAGGGCCAACCAACATTCACATAATGCCGCAGTTCGTGGGGAACAAGAATGAGAGCCCTACTTCTGCTAGCTGCACACACATGTAGAAACACAAGCTACTGTCCCTCGCTAAAACACAGAAAATCCTCCTTATTCAATTGCTATAAAGTCAGGGAATTAGACATGTGCAAAAGAGAAGGGAAAAAAGCAATCTCCTCCTTTCCATCCTCAAAGAGATAGCCAGAATAAAAACTGAACAGCAATATCCAAATAGACAGGAATCTTGGGCCTGATCCTCAGCCAATATAATTCAACAAGATGACATGAGTTTATTTCAGCTGAAGGTCAGGACATTTTTTATTTCAGCCATAACTCCCTGAAGTGTTCTCTTTCTGGGCTTTCTCATCTTCTTCCACCATGGCCAGGCGTCTGTCTACTTATCTAGGAGGTCTGTCACGTTCCATGTGCACTGCCACATTCTGAATTCACAAGGAAGAAAGAAAATGGGGTGAATGATCTCCTTCTAATAGATAGGACTGAATTGTTCATTAAATTTCAGAAATAAACAGATGTCCAATGTCCAGCCCATTCAGAGCTTATTAAAAAACGTACAGAGAGGGCCTCTACTGCTGTCACTGGTGAAGCTCAATGATTTATGAGAGCTCAAACACTGACCTGTCTAATACATTAATCATTCAGCATAGGAACACACTTGTCCCAAATTAGTGGCAATAAAGTATGTGTGCATATTCCACCCATCAGCCAGGTATTGGCCCATATCCACGGTTAACAGGATGTTCCATAGATGAATCAAAATCTTTAGGGATAAGCTGCTTTTACCCTAACTCTGGAGTGGTCCCTTGTGCTTGAATGAAAGCATTCACACCTACTGCATCTGAGCGCTCTGGAGCAAATGCAAATCAGGGGTCGCTTGAATGCCCACTCTTAGCTATGGGGTTAGCAGGGGAATTTGCTGTTAGATCCTCTTCCTACGGAAAACTGTCTCTTTATTAGCAGGTTTAGCAATACTTTTGTATTTTCAGACCTCATACATAAGTCTACTGACACAAGACAGTGATTCCCCTAACCATTTGAGGGAAGAGAAAGTCACAGCACTCTCAGCCCAGGACTAGGGCACTTCTGGGACCCACAGCCATACATATGGCACCACAGCCTACCCCTTACTTAAGGCGCCCACAAGGCAGAATACCCTTGGCCAGATCAAGCTGCTGTGTCTGGTCCACAGAGTCAGAGCCCGAGAGGGTCCACAGCACTGCACTACAAGGTAGATTCTGTTCCAGCTGAGTACAAGTGGGAGCCTGGGGAATGACCCCTCCTCCCCCAGTGCATGAGAATAGACATCTCACAGGCTCTGTGCTCCGTATGCCTCCCCTTCCTCACCACTTCAGAAAAAGGGAAGGAATTTGCCTTTTGAACTCGGTGCTGTGTTAGCCAGAGGGGTTTCCAGTGTTTCTGCTCATTGACTCATTTTGCTGACTCCAGCATATTACGCTCTCCAGCTCTCTAATATCTGGTCTTCTGCCTGTCTCGTTTTCTTCTGACAGCAGCCTTCTTCCCTGTGTGTGTGAACTAAGAGAGTGAATTTGCCAGCTGATGACCAGAAGCAGTTTTCCAAGTAGCTAGATGCCCACTCAACTGAGAGGTTGATCAGCAAACACTAGTTTGTTTTTCTTCTCTCCTAAGAAATAAATTCACCAGAGGAAGCCATTGCTAAAAATTACTTATGCATCCCCTCCATGGCCTCCTTCTTCTATCCTAAGGCTTCTCTACTTCTAGGCCCATCAAACTGTTCATGCCCTGCTTCAGCAACTACTGGTGTTGCAGTTCATGTCTACCCCTTTTCCTTGTGTGATCTGTCCCTCCCACCCGCTTTGCTACTGGCTATCATCCCTTCAAGGAATCTGGGAAAAATATAACATTTTCACACCGCAAGAGAAGGAAACTAGTTTCCTGAAGATTCAGGATACAGGAACTGTACAAAAAAATTCCCTAAGCACAGCACTGCTGGAGTTTGCATCACCAAGGAAAGCCGCCAGCACCCATAAATATATGGAAAAGTCATTCATGGAGGTTTATAACAAACTGTACTAAGATTGTACAGCAGTGTTCATCATACACCTCAATTTACAATTGTCTGCAACTTCACCAACTTTAAACCAATTTAGGATAAACTTTTCTATTTTGGGTGATTTCACAGAATCACAGAATCATCTAGGTTGGAAAAGACCTTGAAGATCATTTAGCCCAACCATTAACTTAACACTTTGGTATGGCTTGCCTAGCAGTCAAAAATATTTTGCCAGTGTTGAGGATGAGGCAATGCAGGGATTCATCATTTTGACCATGCTTGAAAATTCTGACAACTTTTTAAGTGCTCTGTGTTACCAGGTATTGGAAGTGATGCCAGAAATCTGTGAGGAAGATTCACATGGCAGGGATGAGCTTTTTTCCATTTGAATTGGAATCTATTCAAATTTTAGGAAAATGTCCTTGAAACTTTTAAATCCCTGTCATTTCCATGCCTGGTTGAATTTTTTTTAATCCTGCAGTCTCCTCTTCCCTGGATATCTTCAAGCCTGGGGCTAAAGGGTACTTTCCATGGCAGTAGTTATGAAGTGTGTCAGGTCCTGCTTCAGCTACATGAAGTGAGAACTGCCCTTCCAAATTTACAAATACACTTTTTTTTTCCCCAGATCTTATTTGTTTTGTTGATCCTGGCCAAATAGGAGAAAAAAGCTGCCTAAACTGAATCCAGAGCAAATGAAGTGTGGCATCTTGGAGAGGTTGGGGAGCTCCCTGGAAACTTTACAGCAGGGGAGCTTGGACTTGGTGTGCAGGGGCTTTGGGCATGAGATCTATGGAGAGAAACAAATAGACAGTCAAACAGGAAGACAATAAACCTTTACTGTACGTCTAGGAACATTGAAATAAAAGTGCACAAGAATGAACTAGGAGGAGAAGGGCATGGAAGTGTAGGGAAGGGAGTCAGACGTAAAAAGAAATGCCAACACACAGAGACATAGCACCTGCTGGAAGAGAGATGAAAACAATCAGGGAGGAGTTCAGAGAGGAAAGTTATGCCTGGAAGCATGAGATAGATAAAATGGATTCACAAATGGGAACCTGAAGAAGGAACAGAGACCAAGTATATGAAAACAAGGAAGGAAGGCACTGACTCCTCACAGAAGCAGGTGAGACAGGACAGAAGGAGCAGAATATGGAAGGAACAAGGCGAGAGGCCTGTCCTCACTTGGGGCAAATAGCTGCAAAACCTTCCAGCAAAGTGTGTGCTGTTTCTGTTATAGATCAGTGCAGCAAATGACAATATATTACTTCTGTTAGTCACTTGGCTAGCTCAGGTAGCACAGGTTTGCTTGCCAGATTGAACAGTTCCAGCCTCACCCACAACAATTGTCATTGTTGTGCCACATCAGCTTTAAATTTGTTTGAAAATGACGTACAAGAAAGTTACATGAAGTGAAACAAGGTAGAACTACTTGAAGCACACCGTCATAATACATCAGTGCATGACCTACCTACTTCTCTCATTTCGTCCAAGTGCTCAACTCTTTCAAACATTGATATTCGCATACTGTAATGTTTTTAATTCAGTGCTGGCTAGTGCTCCCTAAAAGCCTCTTACTGTCCATTCCTTCCTGCCACAGAAGATCCATTTTGCTTGAGAACTGAGGACTGGTGCAGAAAATTGGAGGCTTCAGGGGATAAGCACGAGGGACCATATATCAGAGGAGGCAGAAGGTCTTAAATACCTCTGAAGAGCCCCTAGGGCTCTGCTGTGGTTAGGTCCACATGAAAGTGCCTGGGGAAAAGAGCTATTCTGAACAAATTCACTGGTCATACTTTACATAAGCAGAACTAAACAGATGCTAATCCACGTGGCTCCAGGTTAGTTCAGACAACAGTACTAAATACAGGGTCAGCATGCAGACCTATCCCATCCCAAAGTAATAATTCAGGGCAAATATGTGTATGGTGAACACATGAGAATGCTGAGACCAAAGACAATAATGAACTTAAACTCGAAAGAGGGTGGCACAACACCATCTCTCTCTGAGCTTTACTTCTGCTGGGCTCTGAATTGCTGAATTCCAGACCCAAATCCCTCAGCCTTTTACACAGAGAGAGAAAATCTGAAGTTAAAGTGAATCTTCTCACACCTTCTAATCCATGAAGTTTTGAGACATTATTTATTGCCAATATTTGGTAGATACTTTTCCATTTATAATATTCACTGTATAGACCTTGAGATTTTTTTGTCTTAAGTGTCCCGTGAAACAGGCCTTCCTGAGGAAGATGCAAAAAACCAGACTGGAGCAATTTTTAAGTTGTTTGTGTCGCGCAAAATAACCAGCTGCCAACACCAACTACATGGCTTGAGATTGAATGACACTGGGTGAGGGAAGAGAAATACCAGATTAAAATAGATTGGGTTGAAATTCTTTGCATCTTCAGTATTTGACTTCATTTGAAAACCAATGTCACATTGTATTTTCACACCTAAACTGAAAACTTCGGTGCAAGGCTGATTTGGGCAAAAGTCTTTTCCTGAGATTGTTGCATCAGTGACGTGGCAATGAATGACCTTCAGTTGTCTAGGCTGCACTGATATAGATCCTAGACTTAACAGCTGTATTGGCTAAACTTTGGTTTTACCACTCATTTGACTCACATGGCTGATTTTACTGTGGGAGTACAAAGTGCAGCTATGTTAATAATGCTGTTTCCCTACCAGGAGCACTTTACCACTGGGACTATGCTGGCTTTCCCAGATTGGCAGAATGTTTTTCGTACAGACACTTGCTATCTCCAATACCTAAGCACTGTTTGAAGCTGCAGACACACAGTGTGGGCTTGTGCTGAGCTGAGCTGTGTATATGCATGAAGATATATGCATGTATGACAGAATACTTCCTCAGCAAGCAGAATTGTAGTACTCTTGTAATTTTTTCAGTAGAAATGGCCCTGGAAGAAGGCAAGAATGATAGTGATGCTTCACAACAAAAGCAGTGATAACTTACTAAATCTCTAGGGATAACCCTGGATGCCACCAGTGGAGCTCTTACCGGTTCTGAAGCACTGGCATTGGTAAGGTGATGAGAAACCAGTGATCACTCCAGCTCCCTGCCCTTTCCCACACTGGCAAGGTGATTGGAACTCCTGTTACATCTTCCCTGACAGACAAGGAGATGGTACCATTGTAGCTGCCAAAAACATGCACTGCAAATTGGATCTGTAACAGAGAAAGAAGAGAAAATGAATGGTATCCTGTGATAAAAAGGAAGTTCTCATTTCTCCCCTTCCTGGGGATTTGACATACCAAACCTTTGATCCTGGGTCAACCTGTTTAATGACGAACACCACTAAGGCCCACCCCCAGCTTCTGTATGACTTATCACTGTTCTCAGCACAGAATTTTCTCAGTGGACACCCTGACTGACACTCCTGTTGGGCTGCTGTTTCCCAGCCACTGATGACAATATCCATGGCCTCAGGCACCATGTGGGTGAGAGAGAACTGGTTTCCTTGTTATCTCCTTCAGGAACACAGGCTTAAACGTTTTATCATTGAATGCTTCTTCTAGAGTCAGGTTATTGCAGAAAAACAATCCTAACTACATTCCTCTTCAGTGTTCTCACCAGCTTAAAGAGTCCTGTGAAAGGGTTTGAGCCACAGTTTAAGGATTCCCACTGTAAGCACCCCGGTTGACGTGTTGTACTGATATGGCTCAGTCTATACACAGGCACTATGTACATCACAAAAGCACTCCAAGGGGAGAGCTGCCCTGCCCCAAATGCCCTTGAGTTAAGGAATTAGGCTGTCTCTAGAGGCTGGAAACCTCAACCCCTATACTTGCTCCACGTCATAGGAACCATCTGGATTGTAGCACCTATATGACAGGTAAGCAACCTGATCATCAGGCCATTATATTGCAGAGACGCCAGCCCCAGCGGGAAAGGGAGTATGCACACGTGTGTGCTGTGAGGAGCAACCACAGGAATTTCCTTACTCCTGAAATGTGGGTTCAAATCCTTGCCAGGGGAGGAGAGAATGGGCCCAGACCTTCTGTGATCTGTACACCATAACCAACAGTTACTGCTTCTCCTTCTCCTGGTTTTGTGAACCTAGCTCCAAACACATTTTATATTATTGGAACAACCCAGAAAATTTGACCTATATTTATAAATATAAATTCTGAAGTTGCATTTTTGGCACCTGCACTACATTTCTTTTGCCAGCTCTAATTAGGAGGCATCAAAGCTTTCTGGTTTTCCCTAGCAGGGCTGGACTCCAGCTCAAACTTGCAGCTTAATTTTCCTAAGTGTTATGAGTATTATTTAATATTTTTAATTCCAGCATCTTGGAGCTCGCTTCATTCTTTGTAGAGATGGGGACTGAAGGCAGGTTATGTGATTTTATCCATGCCGGGTTGTCCCCACCTTTTGAAATTCCTGAAGAATATGAACAGAAGTTTATCGTTTTCATCTATTCCTGGAAAATCTAATGCCTGCTAACTTCACACTCCTGTTCTCAGTAAAACTGTCAAGTTTGTTAACTCCTACGGAAGTATTGCAGAATTTATGACGAAAAGTCTCAGCAGCAGGTATACTGAATGGCTCAACAGCCCAGCCAGGCAGCTCCCTTTCCCACAAACCAGGGCAACCCTGTACAATTCTGGGTACCCTTCAGAGGAACAGTCGGTACAGTTAGGCTGGGGAGTTTGCTATACTGAGGAGTTGATTTGGGGCTCCTGCTTTCACTTTCAGGGGATGCACCTCATGTCTCCTTTCCAGTTTTCAACACGTACCTAGCTAGGTGGTATATCCAATTCTTCTGCTTTCTAGTGTTTTGTAGAGTGTGCAGAGACACAGGAGAATGGGCTAATTGTGTAAACAGTGCCTATAACCTGATGATCCACACCGGTGCTAAGACAGAGTGATATACCTGGTAGTTTTCAGTGGTGATGCTGGCTGGCAAGCTGGTACTGTAAGCCTTGGCCATACCGCTCGTCTGATTGCTGTCTGCTCGCAGGTAGAGGAAGTGTCCTGTGAACAGACAAGTGAATCAGAAAAGAAAATATGCGCTTTTTTTATAGTCTTTTGAAATAATTTAACATTATTCTGCTGAAGCACAGCATAAGTAAGATGACAAGCGTGGCTTGAGAGCAGATCTACTAGTGAGGATATATATAATAAGCACTCTGGGAGATTTCAGCAGCACAGAAGTCAACATCCCAAACCCTTTCCTGAAAGATGAGTGCACAAACCTCAGACACCACTCAAGTGTTTTCCCATACAGAAGCTCACACCAGTCACTGAAGTCCTGATCTCCCTGATTCTTATACCATTTAGCATCAGTGACTTGCTGAGACAAACAGTGGGCTGGAAGAGCTTATTTGTAGTCTTTGTTCCCAGGGACAGTTTATACCACCTCTCAAGAGACAAACGGGACACTCCTATGGACACCATTTTGACAGGGAACTGCAAGTCAAGACTCATTTGTGCTAACACTTCTGAATTTCAATCTGAATATGTGGGGGTCTGGCCTCTCTTTCTTGTTTACCAAGCTGACAGTTCTGGGCATTAGCTGACTTTTTTTACTGTGGTATTCAATGGCACAGAACGTGTACAATCACTTGGTCTTGGGATATGCTTACATGTGATGCTCTTCCTAACCCACTGGTGGAGTCTGGCAAGGGTCTCAAAAATATTTGTTTCTACAAGCTGCCTAGTTCTGTTGGGCAATTTTTGTGATGCAGCAGCTATCATGTTGCTGCTGAAGTACTCTGCAATTGCATAGCTCATAAGAGGAAAGAGGGAAGAAGTACATGTAGAGAAAAGAGAATTCATTATATTATGTAATTTTCTTAAGGTGAAGGAAATCCCGTCTCTGATAGTTTTGCATTAACTTTGTTGCAAAATTTGTTTCACATAGAGTTTTGAATCATGTTCAAAAGTTCATTTTAGGTATCTTTAACGTTGTTATAGATAATACTGATGCTAAATGGTTCTTTGGCAGTGATTCTAAACCAATTAAAAGATCCATAAGTTCAAGGCTTATGTACATACACACACACACACAGAGAGCGAGAGAGAACTATGAGGAACCTACCGCCAGTGGCTTGCAAGGTAGACCCTACAAATGAGTCATCTTGAATCGTTTCAGTAAAGCCTTGAATAGACCAAGGAGATGCTGTGGTTTCATTCAGTGTCCAGCCACATGGACCCTCTTCAAAAGAGCAATGTGAGCCCTTTGGGAGACTGTCTACAATGGAGAATAAGAAAAAGCAGGAAAATTGTAGAAGCTTGATTATGTAACAACACAAACAGCAGAAGTCAAAATTCACTGTGGTGGTCTAAACTACCCAACCTATGCTGCATAGTTTTTCAATGCCAAAATATTAAATATGTCTCATTTGTTTATTTCCAGAGTCACCATCAGAAAACCAACACTGCTTCTGGAGTTATTTGAGACTTTGCAGTGCTGTCCTTGCTCTAGACATGCAAAACTGCAGTTCCCACAAGCTAAAGAATGGTAAATCACTGCCATGTGTTTGTAAAGGCATATGAAATTGCAGGATCACAAAATTTTTTGTGTCCATTTAAAGGAAGGACAATCAACAGATTATTTTAGATCTCTGCCATTGTACTTGCAACAAAGCGAAATACTTCTTAGCACCACATACACTGAGTCAGGGGATTTCTCTGTCATGATATGCAAGAAGAACACTAAACTGGGACCCTGGAGGGACAGATTTATGACTGTGTTTCATGGCTGGCACTAGAAAGATAATCAGCACCTTCCACTGAGGGGAAGTTCAGACCTTGAGTCGAGAAGGAATTTCTCACCCAGCTGCAGAAACGTAAATAACATTTTGCCTTTCTCTGAAGTAGCTATGAGAGGCAAGTCATTAAGCTCCTTACAGTAATATTTTAAAAAAAACCCAAACCAAACAACACAAATCCATTTAATCCTGTATAGGGTGAATTTTCAAAGAGAATCTTGATATCCAATTAATGTAAATAGGCTAAATTAATTCAGAAGGCAAACACTGAATTAATCTAGAGATGGAATCAATTTAACTTATTTTTCATTTTAAATTATTTTTTCTAATGGGATGAAGATTCCCATGAAGTGCCATGGCACATACTCACCACACCTCACTCCCTCCTGTTCTTTGGCAGGGCAATCACTGATGAATTCACATATTTGTAGGTGGCTGACACAGCCTCCATGAAGGCAGGGGAAGCTGGAGCCTTTGTCATATGTAGAAAGACCTTGGTTTTCTTTATCTAAAGGAAAAAAGGGGAAAGAAGCCCAGAAATGTGTTGGTAGAATGTGTATGACCTTCAAGTGTATCAGCCTTCATGTGTAGGACCTCAGAAAGTGTCATTTGGGTGATAAGTGATACTCACCTCTGCTTTTTACCATGTAGGTTTCTATCCAGCATGAGATTCCTGCAGATCACCTCAGCTCCCATGGAGACCAAATTTACTGCTCCTTTCTCTCTTATTCACTCTCTTCTGCTGTGTTTGTGCTATCTTTAGATAAACACTTTTAATTTATTTTTTAAGAAGGACCTTGCTGTTTCCTACCGCGGTGTGCTCCTCCGTTCTGCACACGCGACTGTGCCAGGCAGCTGTGGCACGCTGCATGACATTCTGCTGCTGGAGGCAGAGCTACCCGCTTAGCTCCTGTCCTGACTGACACATTGCGAAGCCCTGTTGAGACTCAGGCTTAACTAACAGTCCTGCTGCTGACACATTTCTGCGCCAGCTCTGTGGCACCCAGCCCATGAAGACAGCTGCTTCCCCAGCAAGTCTGCTCACTGCACAGGAACTTCACTCACAGTCTAGTCAGCTGTGCTCCGGGAGCATTTCACTGACTGCACAGGTACCCGGCCACCAGACTGAGCACAATTTTTAAATCTGATATTTCCCAAAAGCATGACTCTTAATGCACCCAGCCTGCCCCATGGATGTGTGTGCATGGATCTGTAATGGACCTGCAGGCTAGTGTAGGTCTCTTCTGGACCTACTCCCCCCTTTAGCAGAGCTCTGCACAGAAGTTCCACTGAGATTGTTACTGCTCTGGAAAAAAATGCAAAAGTTAGGGAACCAGTTCCAGAAGAAAGAGAAAAGGACACCTCTGCAGCAATCCAGGCACACAGTCTGAAAGCATTTCTCTATGGCACTTGCGTTGTGCTGGGTACATGTATCATCTTATTTAGGGACTGAGTGTTTAGCATAGCGCTTCAGGCTGTATGCATCCCCTCAAAACTCCACGACTGTCAAAAAATAATTACATAAAAAATATAACTTTTGTTAAATTAAAAGATTAATGAGTGCAGTAGAATTAAATCTCAAAACTAGTCTCATGGTATATTATGAAACAACTCAGTGAAACTGGTATTCAGTATTCTTTTTTTACAATTGAAGATTTTACATTACATTCCAAGCTATTTCTACAGTGTCTGCAAAACGGAGGCAACAGCATCATATTAATGCATGAAAAACAGGAAGCGAAGAAGATTATGTCTCCAACCTGCAGGCTGCCTGTGCTGACTGACTCTTGTACTTCCGAGAAGCCTAGATGACGTTAGCAAGGTTCTGCACAGCTACTGAGGATCATTTGCATGACATTCACAACAGGACTGTGCATGCCAGGTAAAACTGATGATTTCTGAGCTCAGCACTCAGTACTTTGGAGAAAGTAACTACATTCCAATTATTTTCATTTCAGACAGAAGTTCTCAGCCCGGCGGTAGCAAACAGACCCTACGGAGTGCAGATCAATGTTTCTTTTCTTTATAGATTTGGATGATAGAGCCTCGATATGGAAAAGGCTTTGGTGACACAAGGTAGTCTTTTGTTCTTGATTATCTAAGAGAGAATAATATTAAATGCTAAAATAATCTAGGCAAGTACTTTCTTCCATCCCTCTTGCTGGATGCAGCATAAACGCTGTTTTTTCTCACTCAAAGATCAAGCAAAGCTGAAAAGCAGAGAGGATCACTTAAATCAGTGCTATGTATAATATATAATCAGAGCTTCAACCCTGCCTTTGGAGCACACACACATGTGCTCACACACATAAAACACATGCAAATGTGACCCTTGACAGTACTGGTAAATACTGCTAGAATCTCTAGAGGAGACTCAACTTTCATTTAAATCCCACCTGACTGACTCCCTGATCACACTCACCAGTTTTGGTGAGGATGCTGCTCTCTTCTCTGACTGCATTTGGTTATTCCAAACCTGACTGTATTGCAACATACCATGAAAGCAGTTCCTGAGTTGCAAGGAGCCCACTGCCAGTACTCCAACCTCTTGTGCTCCACAGTTTGAATACAGCAAGGTGATTTTAAAAGGTCTTTCTATTCGGCCAATCTGGGCCATCAGGTATTTCCATTTCATCCTAGAAAACAACAAAGAGCTAACAGACATACACACAACAGCTGAAATCCATGGAGTCTCTAGCATAAAGATTCTGCACTGCACCAAACAGAAGTAATAGTATCGACAAGGGGAACTGACTGATGAATGTAAACTCCAACATAACAAACAGGTGTTAATATAAAACAAATTGTGTTCAGCCTAACAAGCTCATGTTTAGTTATCTTTGCTGCAGATCCTGTTGTTAATGATGAAAAGATTCCAACCATTCCCAAAGATTCTTAAGTTAAAATGGGATTTAAATTATCACCAATTTTGTACACCAACATCCCACACCCCCTCATATGTCCCTTCCACATATATGGTTGTGTTCTGCTCGCTCTTGCAAGCACAGATCAACCAAGAAGTTGCAGAGGTCTCTGGATGTCCTCAAACTGACAGTGACACTGTATGTTCTGGAAGTAATGTCTGGCCCTGAATGTTTCTTAGTTGTGTCAAGTGTGAGAACCTTTTTCTGTGTGTTCTCTATCTAACCTCCCAGTTTAACAAGCTAGAGTACACCCAACAAAGCAAGGGGAAGAAGAGATGGGGGGTTCCAGAAAATGCAGATTGCTCTGGCAATTCACATTTCGCCACAGAACGAATGCCATAGCCTCTAGACAGCGTAGGTTTCTCAGCTGTGCAGCACTTGTGACAGTTCAGAGAAAGACAGATGGTCCCATGCACTCTAATTTTAAAGATGGTTGTTAGGCATTGAAAGCTTAAGAGAGATACTAGCTAGGAATTGTCAAAGTACCTCGCTCAAATCAGTCTGATGGAAGTCAGCATATCCAGGTGTCATTTAAAAATCCAGCAGGATTCTTTAAAGTATTTTTATTTTTAAAAACTGTCCTTCTACCTCATGTTAACAAGACAATAAAATACAGTTAAAACTATATTATTTTTTAAAGGGGTCGTAGCAAGGATATTGGCAAAGGAGTCCTTGCCCTAAGCTCTTTTCATACCCGACATGCTGCGATGTTGCCGGGGGCACCCTTGGCCTGACATGGGGTGAGGTGTCAGTGCTCTAAGTAGCGCCAGTGGGATGATAAGGAGGCCAGGCCACACTGTTAAGCTATGTTGCTCCGGCTCTGCTCCTAGTATTGCTTTTTCATTTGGGAAATGCCTTCAGCTGCCATGATGTGGTCGTCTAGCCCTTGTCCTGCCCCAAAACCACCTTAGAAGGCAACACTCAGACAACAAACACATCTCTACTGAACACAATATTAAAATCACAGAACATCTAATTTGCAACTTGCAAAAAACCCAAAGTAACTTTAATTTTTTTTATCACTCTCCCTGCTTTTACTTGTCACTGGTTAGTTACCTAACTCATTCTTCCCTCCACAAAACAACTATATACCTTTTTCCAGTGAGTTTCTTACTATCCCTTCTATGGCATTCCCCTGTTTTCCACTTTCACCATTGAACACACATACCACAGATATCCTAAACTCATCTGAAGTTGAGCTCCTCTTATCAAGATAACCCTATTTCTCCCATTTCCTGCCCCATCATATCATATTCAATAGTTCAATATCATTTAATTCTGCTTCAGAAATGTCCAGCCCTAAATCAGAACTGCACCATCTCTACTACCCAAAGGAGAACAACTACTTTACTTTAATTTTGTATTACAGTGCAGCTTCAGGAATGTCCAGTACTTATAAATATACCTTACAAATACACTTATAAATATATTCCCCCCCCCCCCCC